CCACGCCTCTGATTTCCCGTGTCTCCCGCTTTCCCAGTCCTAACGTCCCATCATCTCCCTTATCTCACCTGTCGTCCAGTTCCTACGTGCGCCGTGCACTTCACATCTACGATATCGATCGCGTCCCGTGTCTCGCGTAAACCCTGCATCTGCGCGTCGGGAAGTCCTATTGATGTTCAAAGTCCCGTATGTTTCGCATGCCCGGAGAAACCGCTCATTCCCCATGTCTCTCGTATTCCAGACGTCCCCCCCCCCCCCCTTTGATAGGAGCCTCCCCTATCAGTCCCCGTCAGGCAGTCTGACGCGTCAGGCACTCTCATCGCGTTCTCGCTCCCGAGCAGGCCCGGCTGTGCGCTCTCGCCCCGGACCAAGCCCGGCCGTGCGCTCTCGCCCCCGACCAGGCCCGGTCGTGCGCTCTCGCCCCCGACCAGGCCCGGCCGTGCGCGTCGCCTGCGCTCCCGGCCGGTCCGACAGCGCGCCGCTGCCCGGCCCGCCGGCGGGCAGTCGGCGGACGGCGAACCGGTCGGCGGCGCGCTCGTGACTGGCCGTGACTCGACGCTTTCGGCGGCGGAGCGTGAGGCGTGCGGCCGCGCTGTGACGCCGTCTGCGGATCCGCCGCCGGCCGACTCGGCGTCACGAGCCGTGACGGCTGCACCTCAGACGCCTGCCGTGCCTTGGTGCGCGCCTGCCGTGCCTTGGTGCGCGCCTGCAGACCCTTGTCTGAGCAGGGGGCGTGTGACGTCCGTGCTTCCTGCAGAAGCAGGAGGACTCCTGTTCCTAACTTGATGCTCATCTGTATTTTGGGGTTTTGTTTTGTCAGTTCATTTCTATTCTTCAGTCTCCGGGACAGCCAGTTTCCTAGCACTTGTGCCCCCACCGTCGCCACGTATCAGCTATCAAGTCAAACTTAGGCGAATGGCAGTTCTCTCGAAGTGACAGCAGAAGGCAGGATGTGAGCCTCATAAGGCCGCATAGAGCACACATACGGGACACATGGTTCCCTCCTCTTAGCAGGGCAAGCATCGCTATGTCCTCGATGTGATCACGCGCTGCCCGTCGCTCATGTCCTCTTGCAGTGCCCCCACTTTGCCACGGAGCGCTATGGTCACTGCGGTCGCCATGTGCGGCGTAGATTGACCTTGCGTTCACTCATAGGCGAGCCCCCAATTTTTGGCATGAGGGCGGTTCTTGCATTTCTTAATGACATCAACTTCACGGTCATTTATTCAACTTTACGGGTCCTCGTCTGACGTCACACGACCCTGGTTGAAAGCACCCTGGCACGCTGAGTTTACGTGGACTCCGTGGGAGATCCTGTACACTCTGCGTGTTGCTGACCATTCATTTTGCACATAGTTTCCTTTTTGGACACGATTAGGGAAATCTTCATTCATATTTGGTGGTATGTAGCATGACATCGCTCCACCGAGTCACAATTTGGGCGCAAAATGACCGCTGCTATCGACGCGCCCCTGAGCCCAAATAATAACAACGACGCCAGATGTCGCCCCACATTGTCCTTCGGTAGATCTGGTCTTTGGCCTTGAGATTTGACCCTCTCCGGCCCCTGACTTTTGCACTTGCTCCCCTTCCTCTGTTCCCCTTCCTGATATCTCCGTTGTTGTCGCATAGGCTTGTTTTCGGGACGAGCGCGGTGGGGAAACAAAGCACTAAGCAGCGTCGTCCTTAAAGCGTCACCACCGTTACCGAGTGATGAAGATTGCTGGGGTGGTCCTGGTGCCCGATGGAGGCCGAGACCGGGGACCACTGAGCAGCCTTACCAGAGTCAACCACAAGCAAGCTGTTCAGAATTTCACCGCTGAAGTGTTATTGAAAAAAAAACGCACGAAGCCGATGGTTTTTCGGTACAACATCTGCCTTTGTTGGCGTGACGCTGTGTTGCCTCGTTCTGATGTAGCGTGAGTGGTAAACGCTCTGCCATCCCTCGGTCCATCATTCGTGCCGCCGATGGAAATTCGGGGCGTTTTGCTCGCGCAGTCGTGCGTGTCGTGACGCTTCGCCTGTTGACTGTCGAAGTGTCAGTCTGCTTGGGCATGACTTGGCTGCAAGGAGGTATCTCCTTTGGGTCTTTTCGTTTGTTCGCTGCCACCTAGACCCAAAATTATAGACATGCTCTACGTGTTCTTTCAAAAAGTCGAACACAGTGTGAGTTGCGATCTCATGTCATTTGAGCATAGCATGCTGAAAAGATGAAACAACGAAAATACTTTCCAGCTTCATGGTACTTTGGAATGGGGACAACCGTAATTACATAAATGATATTTCCAACCCCGACAAACAAAGAACAGCCCAAACATGGTCACTTTTTTACCTCATACTTCGGTTCACGACGCCTTAATGCTTTGAAGGTTAAGTACGGCCGTGATATTGGAACCACACACTGGCGTGCTGACCGCCGTTAGAGCATATGCTGTGGTCAAAATTATACAGAAATATCGCTCCGTGACTAAACGTGTGAAAAAGGACCATATCGCAGAATGCAACACTGCGATTGTGAGCACTTCAGCGTTCCGCTGCAGCCCAGCAAGGGGACGGGCGATTTCCGTCACCGCCGCCGGCGAACTCCGCGCGCGCGCGTCGACGCTGATTGGAACCAGCCGGGCGCTCGGTGGCCACGGCGCACGGCGGCCTGGCCGACCGACCGTGTCACGACACTGATTGCGCCGGCGGCGCTGGGCCCGCGGGCGGCGGGCCTTCTCGACAAACAACGCAACGGCGGCAATGTTATGCCCAGGACTCGCGAAACCAATCCGGTTTGTTAGTGAAATCCGGTCGGGCTGTGATGCGGGAATGTTGTTGACGTCTGTGGTGTTAGTGTTGGGTTCATTTGCGTTCATCCGCACCGTGAAATGTCGCTTGCCTTTGTGGGTATGCGTTTGAGCGGGAGGCGCAGCGGTGTGTGTGTGTGTTGTGGTGTGATGTGTGTGTGTGTGTGTGTGGTGTGTGTGTGTGTGTGTGTGTGTGTGGTGTGTCGGTGTGTGGTGTGTGTTGGGTTGTTTGTGTGTGTGTGTGTGATGTGTGTGTGTGTGTGTGTGTGTGTGTGTGTGTGTGTGTGTTTGTGTGTGTGTGTGTGTGTGTGTGTGTGTGTGTGTGTGTGTGTGTGTGTGTTGTGTGTGTGTGTGTGTGTGGTGGTGTGTGTGTGTGTGTGTGTGTGGGTGTGTGTGTGTGTGTGTGGTGTGTGTGTGTGTGTGTGTGGTGTTGTGTGGTGTGTGTGTGGTGTGTGTGTGTGTGTTGTGTGTGTGTGTGTGTGTGTGTGGGTGTGTTGTGTGTGTGTGTGTGTGTGTGTGTGTGTGTGTGTGTGTGTGTGTGTGTGTGTGTGTGTGTGTGTGTGGTGTGTGTGGGGGTGTGTGTGTGTGGTGTGTGTGTGTGTGGTGTGTGTGTGTGTGTGTTTGTGCTGTGTGTGTTGTTGTGTGTGTGTGTGTGTGTGTGGTTTGTGTGTGGTGTGTTGTGTGTGTGTTGTGTGTGTGTGTGTGTGTGTGTGTGTGTGTGTGTGTGTGTGGTGTGTGTGTGTTGTGTGTTTGTGATGTGTTGTGTGTGTGTGGTGTGTGTGGTGTGTGTATTGTGTGTGGTGGTGTGTTGGTGTGTGTGGTGCAGGCATGAAGGCATGAGCACAGGGCACATGATTTATGTGCTCTACTCTTGGGTGGAAGAAGCCATGTGTACCTCGAAGTGAGTGAGGTGACCATATTTGGCACGCATACCATACGCGCAAAGAAAACGCATCAAGTCTTGCATCTTCGAAGGAAGGAGTCCTGGATAACTGTAATTGTTACAATCGCTGTGGTTTATATTTCCGGTAGCGTTTTTGGTGCTAACATTGTGCTCGCACGTCACGTGATTATGCTATTAGAATGCGAAGGATTCAGGCTGTTAATTAATCGTTATTCATTAACGTCACATCCAACTGCTTGAAAGGACAGAATATAACCCGTAATCAACTAATTGTGCATTTAGTGTAAAATGCCTACATGCAAAATCGGTAAAGAACGGAATACTTTACTTTTGGCATGCAGTGTGGGTTACACAGACCACTGTACTAGCACACATTTTGACCGGTAATGTATGCGCCTGTTTCCGCCAACGAACTCTGGTGATCTCGACGTGGTTGGAAGGCTTCGGTGGCCACAAATCTGAGATGAAAAGTCCTGACCCTCGCTCGAAAAATTTGGGGTGAGCTTTGTTGTGTCATCCCCGTTGCCCAGTCACGCTGTGATTGTTTTATCCTGAGAAGCATCGATAACCTAAGAGACAATTGATAACAAGAGGCACAGCTGTGGGAAGAGATACTGTGATGGTACAGGCGAGATAATCTTATATGAAGACTGGCGGGCCTGTGGCAGATTGAAAGGAAGATCCGGGAGGAGGGAAGGGTAACGCGGGCGTCCTGTTTGGCCACAGGTGCAGCCATGCATGTTGCGGTCTGTGCCGCATCTGAATTTCCCCCATGAATCCCATTTCTGTGCACACAAGCGCGATTCATGGAGCAAGTTCAGATGCAGCCACATGTGGTAGCTTAATTAGGCTGATTTCATTTCAGACGGCCGTATTGTGAAATAGATATTGTCGTCGTTGGTGCTTGGACCTGTGCTAGATGTCGCTATTCAAATGTCCTAATCGCATTTCATGCGTCAGCGCGCTGCCACGGGCTGCTGGAGGGTCATCTGTGTGGAGCAACGTGATGCGAGTATATCGTGGGACATGACCAATATGTGTGAGTGAGCTGTACGCCGAACTCAAATGTTTTGAAGACTGTCGCGCGATGCTCACAGCGCGTGTAATCAATTTTGCGCGGTGCCCTCAAGTCCCACGTTCAAGATCGGAAAGCTGTGGGTTGGAAAGGGCGGAGGCGTGGAGGTTCTTCCAAAAGGATGTCAGAGTTCGCTCATGGCTCTGCTGAATAAAACAGGTGACTGCCAGTTGGGTGTCGGCCCATTCTTGGCAGCAATCGTGTCTGACTGCTGCTCCCTTGTGTCTGCCAGGTGACCATGCCGTGTAACCTGACCTGACCTGACCTGACCCGAGATGGCGCTGGTGCTCTTGGCGTGCGGGCTGCCGGCTCTGCTGAGCTGGTCCGCGGTCACTGCCGAAGAAGGTGAGACACGTGGCTCCCGCATGACCGCCGCACCGTGTCAATGCTCGTGGGCTAGTGCATGGTGTCATGTGATTCGCTGCGCACATGGTGGTGGGTTAGTCGATCGTTGCACCTTGGTATGGCTCATGTCGTCATTCGCTCTGTTCCGACGCACAGTCTGAGCATAGTTGTTTACTTAAGCCCTGCCCCAACTTTTCAAGGATTTATACTGCTTGAATAAAGTGTTTGACAAAACTGTATCAAATTCAGTAATTAATCAAATTATGTATTGAATACTAAATAATGAAATGCTTCTTGCCAAACTTGCGTCGTGGACAGCGGGGCCCCAAGATCCTCCTAAAGGCTCAACCTCTCGATAACAATTCAACGGACCGGATGCTCCATCGACCTGGGGTGACACTGTTTGCAGTCGTCATATATCAGTCTTGTGGCTGCAAACGCTGCATTAGCTGTTCGGGCTCGCCCCGTTTAGCTGTCCGCTGACATCGCTGTCAGTATCCCGCGACTTTGACTGAGAAAGAGGCCTCATTTGTGCAGAGTGACAGACGGGTGTGTTAGGGTGCGGTGTGGCCACATTTACAGTGGCCCAGGGGGCGGGAGGGGAGAACATGGGCCAATGACCAGCCAATGAGCAATGATCGTCATCCGTGCATTTAATGTGTCCGTCTATCTCTGTCGCTTGCCACCGGTGTTTGACATTGGTAACAGAGCTCCTCAACAGTTCCCACCTGTCCTCGACGGCTCTGTGCAGCTGGAACGGGAGGAAGGCTGTACTGGCGCCAGGGCCTCCCTTGTGCATGGCCCGGAGCGGTATTGTATGTTGGGACCCACTCTGCCACCGGTCAGGGAGACCCTGGGTGGGCACTGCGGCCGCGCGATTCAGGTCCGATTTGACCGTTCGCAGGCGTCGAGTGAAATGGCGGTTAGTATGCTCGTGGGAAACAGATACAGACATTCATTCGGGTGGATATGCAGCAAATGGGTGCACAGCTTACACCATCACACGACGGCCCACAGCCTTCGTGTTGATCAAGCTCAGATCAGAGGTTGGGGACCTTAGCCTAGGGTTTTGCGCGAATCGAAGGCCAATGCGGACGGTTTGTACCACACTCTACGCAACGACAGACGGTCAGACGAGCTGTGTCCGTGTTCTCCAATCAGCAGGAACCCCCGAACGCTGCTGTTCACAGCGCCGCAGCCGGTGTCCGTACCAGCGCGCCTTTTGCGGGCCTCCTGATTAACCCCGATCTATCTTTATCCTTCGCTCCGGCACTTTCTTAGGCTGCCAGTCTGAACGATGTGTCGTGGACCCACCGTAGCGCACCGGTGTAACTGGAGTGAAGGAGCGAGGGGAGAGGGGGGGGGGGGGGGGAGCGGGGGCAGGGTCGTCGCAACGCCTCCATGGATAGCCCACTTCTGGAATTTATCTTGTATCCTTTCGACTACAAATGCAACTCCAGACCAGACTGTCACCCCGATCTGCCTGTGACCCCCCCCCCCCCCCCATTCCGTGACGCGGTCCCGCACGTGAGCACACTGCACGTTGGCGACGCTCTGGCAGTGCCCTGTTCAACCCACACGCTCGGCTCACATGGCGGCGACCAGCAGCTTGACATCGAACCACTTGAGACGCGGGGAAGGCTCTGCAGTGCCCCTGTGGATGCACTATCTTGTGTACGGAGCAGCTGGCCTCTTCGCGAAGAAGGGCAATCCGCGCTATCAGTTACTAGCAGTAAGCGGAAGAGCATGTATGAAGTGCCACTTTGCTTTTGCTTTGTGCGCAGTCGTGCTGTAGGCTCACTTAGGGAATATTTGTGACCGGTATGTACAGCTCGGATAAGCGCCCAAGTCTGGCGTAGTTTTCCGATAGCGCCGCGAGGGACGCCGGTCTGCAGCGTCGCTGACAACATTCTCCATACTGCTATATCGTTTGATAACGTGGTGCACATCGGTTTGGTGTGATGCAATGTGGAGGGTTCTTATCTCGATTCCACTTCTGCGTGTTACCGATGTTTCATAGCAAGTCGATAGCACGTTTTGTTGGGATAACTTTGCGATCAGAGTGCTTCATGGACGTGCCTAGTTGTTGAGGTAGACACCACCACCCCGCCTAATCGCTTTTGGTTGGGCTTATTATTTGTTCATCGGTCTGTCGCCAAATGGTGCCACAGGATCTGTGTCATGCGGTACAACCCCGCAACTATGCCGCCGTGCGCCAGCTGGGGCCCAAGGTGACCAATGGCCAGATGACTGCCCTTGGACAAGCGGAATAATCGAGCGCTATTTATAGGTCGGGAACCCATATCATGCATCAGCATTGCAAAGTGGTTCTGAACACAAAGCATGAATGTAAGAGCCCTGCCCGGGTGCTGTTTGTGAGGATACAGGGCTCTGCAGTACTCTTTGCCTTTTTTATTTGTCATTGCAACCATCTCCGAATAATCCCTGTGTTCTGTAAATGACCCCGTTTGACGGGCATCAGGTTGGCTTCCGCGCCCTGACACCATTCACCGATGCACCGCTTATCAACCTGACTGGTGGAGACATGGTCTGTTCTGCTGGAGCCATTCCAGGCGCGCCCCTCTCCCGCCCCTGGCTAGCGGTCCTCTGACCACGCCCCGCGACAGGTCGGGTCGGGCCGGCTCGGCTAGAGGCGCGCCCCTGTCCCGCCCCTGGCTAGCGGTCCTCTGACCGCGATCCGCGACAGGTCGGGCCGGCTCGGCTAGAGGTGAGCGAGCCCCTCTCCCGCCCCTGGCTAGCGGTCCTCTGACCACAACCCGCGGCAGGTCCGGCCGGCTCGGCTAGAGGTGTACTGACGCAGCAGATAGAGGTGTGTAATCACAATAGATAAAGGTGGAGCCGAAGCGCACTCGTCCCCTCCGTATCAGGATGTAGCATCTCAGTTTGTTTGCAGTTGCATCAATATTAATCAATATGGATTAGAGTGGTTGTCACTCTGGAGTTTAGTGGTGTTTTCAACACAAATCATCGTCACCCGCTGTTTATACCACACCGGTCAACTCCCACTAAGTCATAAAACTCAAACTAAAGAATTAGCGGGCAACTTGTACGGCTTGGAGCTGATCGCTCGTATTTCCTGTATGCTTCACCGACTGCGGCCTGTCACGCCACCGGTCAGGTGGCTGGCGCTGCACCAGACGAGGCTCGGCGACAGCGCTGCAATGCCAACTGCATTGACGCCACCGTAGTGCTCGTTATCGTCCTACCGCTCTTTCACCGCGCAGTCTCAGCGCTGCCGCCACTGGCATGCACCGGTTGCGTGCAGAGTTTACTACATCGGACTCCGGAGCACGTGCCGGTCGCTTACTAGAGGGGAATCGGACTGACGTGAAGCGGGCCATTGCTGTCACAGCTGCAGACCATTCTCGACGCCTGCTCTTTAAGGGCTTCACCATGCGAAGGCTGGCTGAACGCCGTGGGTTTCCTGCATTGTAAAGTGGTCGTCAACTGGTGCGATTCCTGAATGTTCAGCCTTGTTTCGCAGTCTGCACCACATCGGGATTCCACGTTGCATCAGGTGTAGGGCGTTCCTCGACTGCGACGCAGCCGGTGCGGTGCCCCGGCTCACTTTTGTCGCACTGTGAAGACGCTCGTCGCTACGCTCATCAGTCGTATCTTAGCCCTTGGGATTTTTCGCTTCCTTCGACGTTTACGCATGGCGGGAGTTCATGGAACGACGGGTCACGTGCCCATTATTAAGATGGGTCTTTGAAACGGTGTGCGGCTGATGCCTGTAGCAGTGACTCATCACTGCATTACACTGGCGCGCTAGCGTGCGACGCGCGAACATCTGAGTGGAAGGCTACCGCTATGTGCCGCCTTCCGATGCGCGAACCGACCCGACCTGACCCAGCGGGAGGGAGGGGCTGGGCTACAGCCATCATTTCCACGGCCGCCCGTCATGCGCCCGTTCCAGCCACGCGGAGGCCACAGCGTCGCCTGGTTCACTCGGGAAGTGGGCGCAGGTGCCCCCATTACGGCGTCGCTCCAGCCGGCCGGCACTGGCCTCTCCCACGGCGCCGCCGCCCCGTCCGCCCGGTCACGCTGCCAGCCGCCTTCCGGCGATTTTATCGATAATTCGCCGTCATTGTCGCATTATGCGCCCGTTTCCGAGAGGCTGGGAAGGCCTGCGGTCGGTCAGTGAGCCAGCTGATGGCCGTTGTGACGCCGGCGGCGGTCTGCCTTTGCGTGACGTCACAACGGGTGCCGGCGGCTGGAGCGGTGCGTGAGGAAGTGTTCCGTTTGGAGAAGCTTGCGGTACATTGGGTTAAACTCGGCTAGTGCTGCAAACGTGCGAGTTGCTGTTCGAAGTACAGCGCCGTTCTCTCTAAAGTATCGCAATGCGGTGCTCCAAGGTTTGAATCTTAATTCATATTTTGCGAGTCAGCGTCATACGAATAGAGTTGAGGGAAAGATATATGTTGCCAGCGATGTGTCGACATGCGATACGGTATTTGTCACCTGTTCAGCCATTGTTACGACTTTTTTATAACATTTGGGAGATGTGCGGCAGATAGTGAATAGATAATCCGCATGTTTTATTTTCGTTGCACGTTTTACTCCGACCGAAGTTGTCGATTCAACGAGTTGCTCCGCCAATGCCAGCTTTCAACGGCAGACGGGCTCTTCAATTATGGCGTGGCCGGGCGTGTTGCAGCACTTTTCCAAGTCACGACATTGATTTCCTTTGCCGGTGCTGTTCATGACGAGGCGTTCCTGACTTTTTCCCGTTTGTACAGTGACATTGCACGTTCGGGGCTTTTTTGTGCGGCGGGACGGCTGGGGCGAACACCTGCTGATGTGCTCACGGAAGGCTAATCCGGTGGCGGAACCGTGCAGGAAATGCTGGCGCTGGTTATTGAGCTGGGCCAGCCTTCTGAAGTGGCGCGGCAGTGACTGGCCGTACCCGCCCAATGTCCACTCTGGTGTATTCCACCGGGTGTCTAGTTTGTGATGCATTTTGCTGCCGTGAGGAGCCAGCCGCATTGGATGTTGTGACTATGCCATTCAAGATATAGCTACGAACTCCGTATAAACGAAGTCCGATAGACTGATGTTCAACAAATCAAGACCACACCGCCTTAAGTTGGTCGACTCATTAGAGAAATCAGAGAATCGTGTGAAATGTGTGTGCATATGCGAAAATCCTGTCCTTGAAGTGCAATGATTTCTTGATGCACCATGCACGCACCATCTCCTCACTGACCACCGACCTTTTGCCTTGAGTGTTTTATGAGCATTTTTCCCGAGCGGGTTAAATGAACAGCCTTCAACAGCTGAGAAAACACCAAGCATGATATACGCTCACAGTATGCTCACACTTTCATTGACGGCACCATCCAAGTCGTCACAACCATTAATGTTGTCTTGACCCAGCCACTTAGCATATCTTAAAAGCGCCCTCACTGCGCCATCCGGTCGTCCCGCGGCCGGACTGACCCCTTCACGTGCGGGCCCAAATGGCTCGCCGCCAGCGGGCACCGAAACCCTTTTGGGACGCGTCAGACCTGACCTGAGCGCGAACGCAGCTCAGGTCAGGTCTGAGAACACAACTCAGGTCATGTCTGAGCACGCAGCTCGCCAGCTATCGAGACTCGCGAAGAGACGAGTCCTGAGAACGGCCGAGCTTCAGCACTGTGCAAAGCTGCTTGATTGAATGTATATTAAATAGTACTGACGTGCCGTGGGCACGAAAGGCGTCCCAGCACGTGCATCTTTGCAGTATTTCATTTACAGTATCGAAACTCCATGATAGCAAATCATGCGCGTGACGCTGCCAAGCGGTTGTAACTAAGCTTTTATCACACTCCGGCATCGTATGCATCACAAGCCTGAGCCATTCTACGTGCATTGCGCCGGGCGCAGACTCTGCATCCCGTGCAGCCAACTGGTCTCCTTTACTCATTTGGATTCGCCGCTATGTCGGCCTCATATCGTATGCCACGTCCAGATGTATGCCAGTCGTCTTTGACTGGCCCAGGCGAGCATTCGTGGGACGCTATCTACCCTAGCAGTCCGCACATGCGTGACATGTCTCGCTGCCCGGCCTGCTGTGGTTTGGAGATGAATTAACCCCATCATGAACGGGACCTTTCCGTTAGTAAAGACAGTTTGTTTACCTTGCTCGGGTTCATCCTCGCATAGTTTCGTGCCAGGTGGGTCAAACTGCCTGACCCCTCCGTATCCGTGCACTGATTGCATTATCGTAGCTGCTCCTTCCGATCGACTGTCGTTCCATGGTGTCAGGCCGGACCAATGGGAGGCGTCTGCGAGGGCTCGGCCCAACCAGCGCCCGGCTGCGCCACGGTGAGCGCGCTGGGCGGTCGTCACCCAGCCCCAGCAGCGTTTCCGTGCGGCAGTGTCTGGAGCCCAGCTCCTCGGAGAGGCGACCTCACGGGCGCCGCGCTTGCTGCACTCGGCCTCCAATCCTTTCGACCGATCTACTGCAGCCCTGCTGTTTGTCGGGCTGTGCGCTTCGACGTCTCTTCTTACCGACTTCGCCGCTCGTGGTCTCCTCGCTGACAACGCGCGCGCATTCTACGGGGTTTGTCACGGCGCGCACCGGTGGTCGGTGTGTTGAAACACAGGGGCCCACTGTGATTATCTGCCCTAGCCAGTCTTGTGCTCTGCGCGATGTTTGGGTTTCTGTTGGACGCTTTATGGAGATATTTCTACAAGAGCGTCTCGCAGGAAAGGCTGCGTACAAAGTGGGCCGAATGCGAAGCCATGACGTCATCGAGCACAAGTCTGGTCTTAACGCATTTGTATATAAATAAATAATATATATATATATATATATATATATATATATGTATATATATGCATAAATACATATAAACTACATCATATCCTCGCGCTGTTGGGGTTGGCGAGGTGTCGCCCCGGGCCTCCACATCCCTGACGTCAACACTGACCTTACGTGGCTGTCTGTCGCTCTCTTCCAGTGGTCCTGCTCGACACGACCCGCGAGCTCATCCTGGAGTGGACCCGGTACCCGTTCGGGCCACAGTCCAAGCCGGGGGTGAGTACGGCGCCCGGGCTGCTGACCTCAGAGGCACCGGAGTTTCATGGGCGACCGCCGCGCCAGCCGGCAGCTGTTCACCGGGATCTTTAATGATCATGCACTCTCGGACGTGGAGAACGTTCCGTGTTGTCGTTGGGTGACGGGAATGTGGTCGCAGCGTGTGCCGGCTGTAGCGCTGTTGCCTACACGCCCGGCAGGTCAGCTTGTTGGATGCGGTGTCTTGTGCGCCCAGGTCACTTTGTGTGGGGCGTTGGGGCTTCACCGCCCCTGTACTATGCGTTACTGGCCTCACTCCGCCTGTGTTATACCTTACGAGTCTAAAAGGTTGGTATGTGGTTGTGGTGAATAGCTGTCCTTTACGCTGCGTGCATGGTATCATCACTTGCTCGCCCCTCTCCACCTTTGCGTGCCTACGTGTTGGCCTCCGACTCTGTCTGCCTCCCTCGTCTTATCTCGCCTCTGCGTTCTCTCACCCGCTCCTTCGTACTTTAACGTTTTTCCTCGCCTTCCACCTCTGTTTCCATCTCCCTTTCGCTTCCTTTAGCAACGCTCTGCCTCGCATTTTTCTCTCTCCTGGCAGTGCTGCCGAGTTCCGGGTGCCATTATGTGTAGTGAACCGGACCGCCCATTTTATTACTGGGTCATGGGCCCTAAACAACACCGCAAAGTGCGGATCTCTCTAGCATCATGACCAACTTTCCTAATTGGATTATAACGGTTCCCAAAGATAACTCTCCTGGATAATCACACCTCTTTCTAGCAGCTGTACCACATTGGTGTCGCACATGGGTCATTGGCGGTCCGAGAGAGCGTTTTCAGCCCGAGTTATTCTGTGCATGTCCACCGCCCTGATGCCCCGGTCCCGACGTCCCTGACGGTGATGTCTTCTTCACGGTCATGTCTCTGACCAGCGCACGCTTTTGCCGGATGTGCACCGAGCAATCTGCACCCTCTTGCAGACAAGGAGGCACATTCACGTTACAGGATATTTTAGACAGGCTTAACCCATCATGTAGCGATGATTTGGAGTGTCTGCGAGTTTCTCTTAGGAGGGGCTGCGAATGTAAAACATGTGTGCCCCGAATAATAGCGCATGTCTGTTGGAAGGCCCGCTGCTAGCAAAGGTGATCACGCGACCGTGGGTCCATTTAAGTACTACCCTGAAACTGCAGCCGCTACCCCCCCCCCCCCCCCTCCCCAATTAATACTTACACAACATGCGCATGCTTCCAGCAATGTCAAGCCAGCGTCATAGTGACTTTCGTCGCGATGGCACCAGTGATGAGAACCATGCCTTTGACCAGCCGTGCCAGTCCATTTGAATGAATCGCATGCGGTGTTGAGTGCGCGACGCTCTCCCGATGCACGGAGGCACGGCTGGGGCCGCTCGCGGCGACGGTGCTGCCGTCGCCCTGGGCTGAGCGTGCGCCGCGGCGCGCCTGAGCGCCGCCGGTCGCCTCGGTCTGCCTCAGGCGGTGCGGCGGCCGACCCGGTCGGGTGTGCCTACAGCCGAGGACTCTGGGGGAGATCCCGAGGCCCTCGTGTCGACGAACTGTACCAACGTACACAGATCACCTGCCGTACGCGTCGCCGGGATTGGCGGCGGAGGCAAGGACGAAGTCAGGCCGTCCCAGCCGCCGCGGGCCGCGGGCAGGGGAACGTGCAATTCTGCGGTGATCTCGTGACATCATGAGATCTCATCATCATCATCGGGCTAGAGGACACGCAGGCCGAGGTGCCGCGCGGAGAGGTCAGCGGCCAGGCCGGTCCTGACGCGCTCGGCCGCTGCCGACCCTGCCGTGCCCGGCCGTTGCTGGCGGCGGCGAGGCGTGGCCGCGCGGCGCCGACGCCGTGCCGCACCGGTGCTGGTGCCGGCGCCGGCGCGGGGCCGACTCGCCGCTCCCGGATCTGCCGAGTCGGCCCGGCGGCGGCACCGCTGCATCAGGCGGCTGCCGGAGCCGCGCCGGCCGGCGGGTAGCCGAAACACTTTATTAAATCATACCGGGCGGGCCGCCGGCGCCGCCGCGCCGCCGCAGCACCGCGCCGCAGCGCCGCTGACTCCGGCCCGTCGGCCGCGCAAACCAGCCTTCGCGACGGAAAAATGAACCACAGAGCAGCCCCGGCGGGGATTGCAGCGGGGCTCGGCCGGCAGGGGCGTAATAGGCGCGGCTCAGATCGGCCGCCCCTGAACTCGGGCGGCGGGGTGTGGCGCTCGAGGGACCTGCGGTCGGAGGAGCGGTGGTTATGGAAGCTCACGGACGGCACAGGTGGACTATTAGTTTGCTGGCGTGATGCTTGCCTGATGCTGGCTCGTTGCATGGGGTTAAGTGACACCGTAGGCCGAATGGGCGAGTAGACACTTTGTGGAGCAAAGAGAAATCATGAGGGCTCTCCATGGCGTTTTAACTAATGATGATCCACATTGACAGCCACGAGTGTCAGGAAGAATGCAGACGAAAACCAATCTGAGAAGCCCATTATCAATCTGCGGGGTGATAAGATATGTACTCGCCGCATCAAAATGGGTATTCAAACTTGCGTGGCGATAGCCTGAACACAATTGCCAAGGCGATGAAGCGTCAAAAGTTCGCAGAAGCCAGTAACGCCATGCCTACCTCAGCAGTCTGGATTTCTGATTTTTGTTACCGGTACGGCTCCAAGGACAGAGGAATACAATCGATTGATCTAGATGTGTTTCGAAGGTATACAGAGTTGTGCTGGTCTAGCGTTCAAAGAAGCGAACTATCCGCAAGACATCAGTACGTTGATTGCCGTCATTGGGCGTCGCGGAATATCAGAGCATGCGGCCGCACGGTGTCTATAATTCCACCCCGATACCGAAGGTGTCCGTGTGGTGCTCGTGAGGTCAGAGTGGCAGTCGACATTTAAGACTTAAAGATGGCTGGCCGACAAAGAGCCGCAAGGGCCCACGTCGTCGAGACTAATCTTACGACTTGAACCGCGTGGGTTCATTGATAAATGAGATCTTTAGACAGATAGAACCCGTCCAAACGGTTGTTAAATGTTGCTAGAGGGGACTTTCTATAACTGCATATGACAGCCAATTCCAATGGTTCACTTCTCTTTTACTAAATGACGTCTGCCTCTTTATAGTTCTATTCCTCCTTTTGCTAAATGAGACTGGCTTCCTCTATGTCTGGACATAATTTGCGGTACTCCAGGTAAATCTACCTTGTCTATCCTTTCGTAGTATTGAGTACCTTTATCAGATCACCTCCAATTCTACGATATTTCAGCGAATACAAATCCAAGACGCCGAGCCTAACCTGATATTCTAAGTCGCTAATCCCACTTTTTATCCAGTTGCTTTCCGCGCTGCTCTTTCCAGCCTATCTATATATTTTTGGAAGCATGGGAACCAAACCTGTACACAGTACTCTTGGTGTGGTCTGGCAGAAGCTAAGTACAACTTTTTCACGACATTCCTACTCTTGTAATGGATATTCCTGTTAAGAAGTCCCAGCTTCCGAGGCGCATTGCTCTTAGCAGCCCCACATTATTTTTCACAATTTAAAACCCTAGAAATTATAGCCCTTAAGTCCCTTTCTTCCCCGATCTTGTTTAACTACCGGCCTCCCATTTTAAAGCTAATTCCCTTGCTGCCAGTGCTACCCAAATGCACCACTTTACACTTATCATGACTAAACATCTGCCACAGAGAAGCCCAGTTCACCAGTTTCTTTAAGTCGGGCTACAGTTGGTTCACCTGATCGGTTTTTTAGACACCCCCATCAACCTAATACCGTCAGCAAATTTTAGCACCTTAATCCCTAATCCAATATTCACAAAAATGATAAACAGCAAAGGACCCAACACCAACCCCTGTGAATCTCCACTCTCTGCTAACTCCCAATTAAATATTGTACCACTGAGCAACACTCTTTGATGTTTCCTGTCTGGCGGCCAAGCTCTAATCCAGCCAGTGATTTTTCCCTCAATGCCATGCAATTTTAACTGATAAAGCAGACGTTGGCATGACATTTTACAAGAAGTCTTACTAAAATCTACACAGACAACATCTCAACTATTGCCTTTATCTACCCCAATAGTAACATGCTCCATGAGCTGTAGAAGATTTGTCACACAGGACCTACCATAACGAAAACTATGCTGACTTCTAGTTGCCAATTAATGCCTACTTAAGTGTGACTGAATATTGAATGAGCTAGCCTGAATTCATTTATTTTTGATCTTACATATAAGTGAGGTTAGATTGGAAAACCTGTAGTTGCTGACGCTTTGCTTGGCGCCCTTCCTTAAAAATCGGTAATACATTGGCATTATGCCAGTCCTCGGGCACTTCTGAGAACCTCAATGATCTATTAAATATTAGCATGACATGATACACTCAAGTACCAGCGCATTCATTTAGCACTCTACCATATATGTGGTCAGGTCCGGGCGTCTAACTAACCGTGATTTCCTCCATGCTATCCCTTACCATGCCAACTCTCGGTCACCACCAAATCTATAAGACGGCCTTCAGTCGGATTTTGCCTTCCTTCTGTCAGATTTTGCCTGGCTTTAGTTCAGATTTTGCATATTTCCAGGGAGATCATACATAGTCTCTTTGGTAAAAAGTGACGAAAAGCCTGTCTACTAAGAGCTTCTACAATATCCCTGTCCTCCATTAATGGCTTTCCATCTTCCTCGAGAGGGCCGACAGAAATCCCCTAGAATTGAGTTTCTAGCTGTCAAAAATGTTCTTAACGTCGCCAGAGCAGGTATCTGCTAGCCATGTTTCTGGAAGTTTTTTGGCCGCCCTGGTTTCCGGGTTTAGCGTTTTTTTTTTTTGCTGCAATCCTACTGCACTGCCTTTTTTACTCTCTGTGTCCGGCACGTTTTGCCTATCATATGCCCCCTTCGTCATTGTTTCATTGACATTGCCTTAGGCAGCGCTTGGTCGAAAACCGTCATTTCTAACCCGGGATAAGGCCATTCGCTGGGGACCAGAATCGCGGCGTTGATTCTCCAAG